TCATATTGTTCAAGGTCCATCTCAGGACCTACCACTTTGACAGTGCTTTCAGTCTTCTATCTCTTCCCCACCCCACTTAGCTCCCACTCCCAACTCGGGTGCCAAACCTTGGGAGTCCTTCTGATAGGAAAGGTTCTGTATAAATGTAAATTTGTAAGCCATCAGGCTTTAGCGTGGGCACAAATCATTATGAGAAATGTACTTTGAGATCCCCACTGCTGAAATGGCTGTCACTGAACCATGGAAGAGCCCATCGACCAAAGTCGCCTGATGTTCAGAGGCATCTCCTGGCCTTCATAGCCATTATTTGGGAAGTGAATAACACAAAATATATTTATAACAGTGTTTTGTGCATGTGTGAAGTTCTGCCTTCATCTGTCAACTTAATGTGATAAATGTTAGGACATTTTTGCGTGGCCTGAACATCAGTCGCTGCAGGTGACCTCGGAAAACGTAATGGAGAAATGGCAACTTTACGGGATGCAGGAAAGCCATCAGTTTGGTGCTACATTTTGAGTCTCAGGAGCCGCAGTGTAAAAGCAACACAAATATTCTAGTGAAATGGTTAAACACATTCATCAGAAATAGCACATGAAAAAAATAGATGGCATTAAAAAAAATGTGTTTTGAAAGCAGTCATGAACTGTCAGCACTCTTAAGTCTTAATTTTTATGACTGGATTGGAAGGTTGAATTAATCTCATAGCGAGCGCTTATGGCTCACAATTTTTCACAGGCTTCATCTCTGGTGTTAGGTGGAGGAGGACGCCTGTGAGATGACGTACTAATGAGAAGCTGTCGCTGTGGGAGGTGAGGTGACAGAAATGACTCAGACGGTGAGCTGAGATACAATCAGTCACCTGCAGGGACCACGAGCGACAATTTAAAACACATTCATGATAATTATTTCATCAAAATTACTCATTTCAGTCATTAACAGTGAGCATTTCAGCTGTGACCTTGTTCTGGAAATGTTATTTAATATTATCCTCCAGTTAACATTATTTAACTGTGGTTTTAACAACACAGTTCTCTTTCTCGGAGAAAGATACATCGATGTTTTTTAACAACTCACAAGAGCTTAAAAAACGAGGCTCTCAAAATTTTTTTTAAAACTCATTGCAGGATTATGACTTTTGAAGTTGTTGAGAAATGCAGTTCTAATGATCGCACTGATTTTTTATGAGCTTTCTTGACCCAAAGATATAAAGCAGTAGAAGCCTCCACTGATAATGAGATATACAGAATCTGTTGTTACAATGTGCTTAGTATGGAGTAACATTATGAAATTATTACAAGCAGATAGTACAGATCTGAATTCTCACCAAGTATTGTTAACTCATGTGAATATATTGGACACTTTATTGAAGGTTATTATCTCAGACGTTTTAACGTGTCTCTACTGAATTGCAGCACTTTTCACAATTAAGCCACTTTGAAATTTGTTTTTCTCCTTGCTTTTTTGGTTGATATTTTGGACTTGGTCAGTTCCAGAATTACTCCATAAACAATATTACCCTGGAGTGGCCACTATGATAACTATAATCCTTGCATTTGATATAACGCCTTATCACATTGTCAAAATGTCTGAGAGCTCTTCACAGGATTTTACTGTAAAGTGTAGGGACTGTGTTTTGTAGGCGAACATGGCAACCAGTTTGTTCACAGCAACATCCTATAAACAGCCAGGAAGTGAAATGACCCATATTATCTGGAGAATTGTTGTCAAGCGCACCGGAAGAAACAAAACTTTTCAACTCGTGACGCAGGATCTTTAACATCAACTTGCATAGATGTATTTAAGAGAAAACTAGATAAGTACATGATGGAGAAAGGAATAGAAGGTTATTCTTGAAGGCTTAGTTGAGGAAGGGCAGGAAGAGGCTCATGTGGAGCATAAACACCGGCATAGACCAGTTGGGCCGAATGGCCTGTTTCTGTGCTGTATATTCTAATGTATTCTGACTTGAGCAGGCACAGACAGGGCCTCAGCTGAAGGATGGCACCTCCAACAATACAGCGCTATATTGGAGTGTTAATGTAGACTCTGAATTCAAAGGCAGGCAGGAGGCAAAGATCTTTGTGCAAGATCAAAAGGAAACGTGCCCATCAATCATACACTGATCCCAATATTAAAGACAGTGAAAAGAGTGCAATGTTTGGATAGACAGCACAATGAGGGAAAGTGTCTTTCTTCGGATCAACATTTTCTCAACCTTTTCTCCTCCTCCCCACTCACCCTGTTGCCCCCTCCCCCCCCCCCCCCCACCACCCACCATCTCACTAACAATACAATTGAGTTGAACAGCTCGTTGTATGATTTTGTAGGGTAGCTGCACTATCCTGCAATACACTGGCAATAAATCTGTGGGAATTGTTTTAGAATTGAATGGAAAAGAAATGATAGGGGGCACTGCAGCTTTAAGCTGCCTTGTGTAACAGATTGTCCTGGCTCAGCAAATGTTGATCCAGCTCTGTCTGCTGTCTCTCATACTTCATCGATCAACGGCTCCTGACAGTGGAATTTTGTCGTGACAAGCAACATTTCATTCTGAAAGGTTTCTACTGAACAGTTATACTGCTGCTTAAAAACAGCTCTGAGAGCATTTAGAGTGTTGGGACTAGCAAGCCGTGTGTAATGCTGAATGGCTCAGCCGTCCTGTTACCTTGACTCTGCTCATGCTGACATTTTTGGAATAGAGTGAGTGATACTTTTAGGCATTATAAAAGAATAATCACATTAGAGAGCTTTCTAAATCTTTTCTTTTCCTAAGTTAACTGGCAGACACAAATGTTAACTTAATTCTCTTTATGGAACCATGTAAATAACCTGGCAGTACATTTCATTGCTTCACTGGCTTGAGGCACCATGCTGTACTGGGTCATCAGCTTTTTTCCCCCTTCTTCTTATCTTCCCTTGTTCCCATTCCGCATGTGTAAAAAGGGAACTGATCACAGGTCTATCTGAGGGAAGTTCATGAGGAGGCAGAGGCAATATTCCAGAGGTTAAGAAATCCCTTAACCCACTGCCTCCGTGTCCTGGCAATACACATTCGCAGTGAGTTGAGAACAGAGCACTTGCACGCCAACATCCTTTTTCCTTATTGCTTGAACTCCGAGGCATCTAAAAAAAAGTAATAATAATAATAATCCTTGCGTTTTGATATAGCACTTTTCATGTTTCCTAGACGTCTCAAAGCGCTTCACAGAATTTACTGTAAAGTGAATTGACTGCATGATTTGTGGGCGAAACCCGGCAGCCAATTGTGCACAGCACTGTCCCACAAACAGTCGTGGATTGAAGTGACCAATTTATACAATTTTTTTTTGAGGGATTATTATCAGGCATGTGGAGTAAGGGAATTTGCCCAAGGTTTCACCCTGCCGGGAATTGAACCCAGAACGAGTGCTCTAACCACTGAGCTACAGGACTCCATGTGTTGTCAATGTGTGGAATATACCCACATTTCATTTTGTTTCTCCAATTTATTCATGTCTGCTCTCTCAGCTTCCTCCTTCACTCGAGAAAAATCATCCCTGGAGGATTCTACTAGAATGGGATTAAGAGCCGAGTGCTTTGGAATATCAGATTCCAGTACTAAAGGTTCAAGCCTGCGAGACCTTGTATGGTAGTTTTAGTTCTCGCAGTTAGGAGGCATGGTGCGGAGTTGAGGTGCTGCAAACGCTGGATGAAAAATATCCCAATTTTCGTCGGATGAACAATATAATATTCTTGGTGGTAGTTTCTTCTTTTGAGGCTGTCTTTGATAAGTGGTGTAATTTTCTCTGCCTCATCCATTTCTGCTCTTATAGAATAATGAGAAGTGATGCATAACCTATAGGCTAATCACAAGCACAAAATACAAAAGTACCAATTAGTCAGGCTGAGAGGCATCAGCAGCCATTGTTCAAAATGAACATATTGTTAATTTAGGAGAATGTGCTCATACAGATACACGGTTGGGCTGAAGACAGCAACAACAACTTGCATTTATATAGAGTCCTTCACATCGGAAAACGTCATGGAGCCCTGAATAATGTCTCCGAGCCTGCAACAGTTGCGTGTGATGAAACATGGCCAAGGCCCACGTTTAGCTGTGGTCTTGTACAAAATCTTTAAGATCAAACTATAGGTCAGGGGGCAGGAGTTTCGCAGCTTTAACAGGATATGAAGGGAACAGAGATTTTTCGTTCTGCAAGCCTAAAGGATAGGTGGTCACAAGCGGCCAAGCAGAGGGAAATTTGCCAGACAGTGCTCTGAATGCTAACTAAAGTTCCACCTAAAGACCTTCCTTTTCGATTGTCCTTACGGTCACCTCCTCCCTCATTGTCTGCCTGGCTCGGGGTCAGGTTCCACCACTGTTAAACGCTCCGGGATGCTATACCCTGCGTGAAGGACGCTATATAAATGCAACTTGTTGTTGTAACTCATTTGGTTTAATTGATGAAACTCCAGCAATAGGGCAACGCATAGTCTGGGGTCCTGAAGTCTTGGCTCTTGCTAATTTGTTTGATCCTCTCTGGAAGTAGGTATGTAGGGTTCATTTCTCCAGGGAGAGAGTGCGCATTCCATTCCAGATACAGGGAAATTTCCATGTGTAGATGGTATATCTATGTGGAACTCTCAGTCTGGTTTGGATACTCTGAAAACATGTGAAACCATCTGACCGAAACAATGAGCAATCCCAGGATATTATATTAAAAATTACTCTGTTTAAATGCAGGTTAAAGCTAATCCTGAGAAGATACAAGCCCCCCCTAGCCCCCAACTGCTCCAGGTTTCATATGGCTTTTCTGGGCAAGATTGCAAATTTGTGCAGAAAAAGGGCCAATACTTCATTTCACTTCAAAGGATAACGAGATGGTTTGGTTATATTGACATTATTCTGGGCTGCATTACAACACAGGCTTAAGACATGGTGAAAGTGGTCAAATAAATAAAATCAAGAATTTTGTTTTGGTCACAGATTCTTCAATATTCTTTATTTGTTTCCATTGTAGATTGAAGAGGATACCTGGCAGAAGTACTACCTTGAAGGGGTCGCAAATGAGATGTACACAGAGTATCTGTCCGGTGCCTTTGTAGGCTTGTCTTTTCCTGCAGTTTGTGAGTAAGTAATATACTAACCAAATGCTTTCTGTGGTTAAATCCTTATTTCCAGCTCTGCAATTAAACAATGAATGAGGTACAGTAACAAAAACTCTGAATGATTCCAAATAAATTGGACGTAGATTCAAGGAGAATGCTGATTTCATTTGTGAATATAGAAAGCTTGTTGCAGGAGTACGAATTACAGTATGCTTTGCTATTTGAATAAATCACAAGGAAAGTATTTTTCATGAGATTAGTAAAATGTTATAAGCCCTGGATTTGATGCATCTCATTTTAGTTAATGTTCCTATAATTGTAAAGCCCAATGCATCTAATCCTATGGGGTCTTCATATCTTGGGAGACATTATCGAACTAGATGCTCTTATCACATTGGATTTTAATGACAGGGCTTGTGCTGAAATATTGTTGGTATACTGACCTCCGAAGGACAAGATGACATTGTTTGGTGACAAGCCGGTGTTGAGACTTCCAGTTCAGTGGTCTTCTGTTTCTTTCTCCACAAAATTGGAAGTGCAAACCTGATTTTCTTTTAAAACTATGTTTTGTTGGTAACTGGAAAGAACTGCTCTGTTTGTGCACTTTAGTGTGCATTCAAGAAGCTGTCACCTCAATTCCTGTGCAGTGAACAGACAGTGTTTCCTCTTGGTATCCTTACCAAAGTGTGGGAAGTACCTCACTTGCAAGCGGAAAAGAATCGTTGACATAACAATGCATTAGCGTAAAGATATTCTCACTTTGATTCAAAGTTTTTTTAAAATTAGTTGACGATTTTCCTACTGCTTTTGCTTTCTAATTGTGTCGGACTGAGATACGCATAGAATTCACTTTGGAATGAAGCTGTGTAAATTGTAACCAATCTCTTCAGAATCATAGAGATGATCACTTAAATGTTTAGCCAGTGAAGCACTATCTGCATTGATAAAAATGGAGGACGGTAGACTGGAAGGTTAGACTGTTATCCTTTCACATCTGGCATCCGAGCTCAGATCCAAATTTTATCTGCCCTCTAGCACTGTCTCTCCCTCTTGTGCACGCTCTCCCTCTCCCACATGGAATAAGTTGGTTAATCTCAAGCAATTTCTTATTGGATACAGAGCTGCTCACAATTAAGCACATATGGGTAATACAGTACAACTGGTTTCATGGATGACTGGGCTGAGAAGTGGAGCTCTTAATCTGTTTGGTGGTTGACACATTCCCAGGGCAAAGTAACAAGAGCTTTGCAGTTCACTTACACTGATTTGCTTGCACTCATGTTACACCTGCAGACAAGTAAAAGCGAACACAAAATGTGGTATGAATTTATTTCCCCTATTGGGTGAAACTCTCCCAATGATACTGGCTCCAAATCTGGCTGCTTCCAAATCAGCCTTGTATAAATACTCCCCAATTAAGTCATTTAACTGGTGAGATTTCCCCCATCCTTCTTTGTATATCAGTGTAAGATGTGGGCAGGCAATTCAATATTCTTAAGTGCATGCACAGGGTCAGGGCAAAGGCGAGCGTAAACATTGGTGGGGAATCAAAATCAATTGGGCTGAACAAATCAGAATTGAATGATTCTCCTAGTGAAAGCAGAGTATTTAAAAGCACTAAGCCTTCTGGATGGTAATTATAGTTCAGATTTCTGATTTACCCGAGGGATATGCTGATTACTTTATTACCAGAGCAATATTCATCACCAAACAACGTAATGGCTGCTTACGAAAGTCACATCATCTGATCTTGTGGGGTTAATGAGATTTAAACAAGGAGGGGCTGTTATTGTCAGTTAACGATGCAGTGCTTCAAGGAAGTGATGATCAATGGATCCAGATGGTTCTAATGAGATTTAGAAATCGCCTAAAAATCTTCGTTTGACACATAGGTTTTGCCCAGAGACTCAATTATCCTGTTTTCTGGTTTAAATTAAAAGGGCTCATTATTCATACACTCTCTTGTCCTTGCTTGTGTTAGATGGATAACCCCCATCCTATTCTGTTTAATTAAGCCCTATAATAATCAATATACCGTATTGTGTATCATTGTGCGAATTAATCCATGTTAACATTACAGTAAATACAGATGTTTTATGGAAAAGTGTTGTGAGGGAGTTGGGTATAATTAAATAGATGAGAAGTTTCTAAATGTAAATGCTGCAGCTGATTACCATCAAAATGCCACAGCCTCAATGATTTCTATTCCATGTGGGAATGTACGCCAGGTCCCGTTACAAAGTCTACAGTTAGATGACCTGCTCGAAATTCTGGAGGGCGCATTTAAGGTTATTTCTAAGCAGATTGTTTAAGTCATTGCAGAACAAATGTTGAAAATCCTGTCAATCTTAAGAGGCCGAGTAAAATCTGTATGGTGCTAGACTGTGGAGAAGATTTCAGCAAGGATATTAACTTTGAATTAATTCTGATTTGTTCAGTGAAAGATATTTTAGTGCAGTGCGTTAAGAGTTTGTGATTCAGGTGTGTACTCTGCACACATTGCACAAGGACTGTGAGATCTTATTCAATTTCAGAAAGCACTGACATCACAAGTATTTAGTATTTTATCTCATTGCTGACTACTGCATTTTATTAATTACCTTGATATTGTCTCAAGATATTTAGACAGTCAATGATTATTGCACTTTCAAGATGACTAATAATTCTTATGTCTAATTGATCAGAATTATCAATCACCTGATATCAATCCAATTTTATTTGGATTCATTTTCTACCTGTTTCATATCCCACAACCAAACACTTCAATTTCAAGCATTACATTTGCGACATAAACATTATTATCTTAATTATGCACAAAGGTGTTTCATCATATCTATTTTTGGGGGTTGTTGAATAATGATTAATAATGATTAAGCAACTAATAAAAATTGTTGATGAACTTTTTCAGTAAATATGCTGCAGTAACTTCTTTACAAGAGAGCAAAATGATGAACGGCAGGGCCAGAGCTGGAAACATTTGCTTTCTTGACATTTTAGATGTGTTAATTGACCCTAACAAGTAAATGTACACAATGAGAAATGATATGGCTAATTGTTCTATATTTTTACTTATTCACTCTTGGGTATATAGTTGAAATTCTATGGAGTATGCATTCATAATTGTTAATATTTTACAGCAAATATGCTCCCAGTAGGTGAGCTGATTTATAGCAGACTAACTAGTGCAGTTTGCATTTTGAAATCCAGTGGGATGACCACTCTTTACAAGTGTGCTTGTGCATTCATTGAGCAGCAATGAAATGAAAAGTTGGCAGTGTGTTTGACTAGTGAGTTGTGTTATTGCAGAGTAGAAGTGAGACCTAATGCCCTTTTGATACTGGGAATGATAAACCAGAGCATGCCAAGAGCTTTAGCACTGTTTGGTTTATAACCAACATTAGAAATAATGCAGACAAATAATGTGGAGTCCTGTAGCTCAGTGGTTAGAGCACTCGCTTTGCAAGCGAGAGACCTGAGTTCAATTCCAGGCAGGGCGAAACCTTGGGCAAGTTTCCTTACTCCACATGCGTAATAATAATCCCTCCAAAAGCAATAATAAAAATTGGTCATTTTCAATCTACGACTGTTTGTGGGACATTGCTGTGCGTAATTGGCTGCCGCGTTCGTCCACAAATATACAGTCAATTCACTTTACAGTGTGTTCTGTGTAGCGCTTTGGGACATCCTCCTGACGTGAAAAGCGCTATATCAAATGCAAGGATTATCATTATTATTATTATTATTAGACTGACCATGGTGCGGATTCCACGTGAAACTAGAATTGTTCAGGATCCACATGGATCAAGCACTGTGGTACAAATAGGGTGTTTCCCAACATCCTTTCTTGAAATAGATGCTTCTCCTTTAGCACATAGGAACCTGACCTGCGTTCAGAAAAACGTTCTGCACAGTTTTCTGTAACATGTGAAAAATGCCATGAAAAGTTTCACTTGTGAACTGTGACATTGGTGTGGTACTCTGCAAACGGTCCTGCTTGTCAGCCTTCCCAACTCCTCCCTCCACAGGCTGCACATAATTCAGAACTCTGCAGCCCATGTCCTCTCCCGCACCAACCTCTGTGACCTCATCTCCCCCACTCTCGCCCGACTCCATTGGCTCCCTGTCCTTCAGAGGATCCAGTTCAAAATCCTGGTCCTCACCTACAAAGCCCTCAATGGTCTCGCCCCACCCTATCTCTGTGACCTTCTTACCCCCTACCAACCCGCCCATTCCCTCCGTTCAGCCGGCTCCAGCCTGCTTTACGTCCCACGACCCACCCATCCCACCATTGGCGGGAGAGCCTTCAGCCACTCTGCTCCCAACCTCTGGAATTCCATCCCCCAATCACTCTGACTTGCCCTCTCCTTAGCCTCCTTCAAGTCCCACTTCAGAACCCTCCTCTTCGACCATGTCATCGGTCACCCCCCTTCCCCTCCCCTCCCTTCTCCCCCCTGACCCCAGCTCGGGTCTGAACTGCTGTACACTGTCCAGCACCTTGGGACGTCCTCCCAATGTGAAAGGCGCTATACAAATGTAATCTTCTTGTTGTTATTGTTCCCAAGCACACGTTGCTCTCCTCCCACCAAATCACAGAAGTCACAAGTCTGATCACTTCTAGATTGGAGAGACATTTGAGACCCTCACATCATCTCGGTTTCCCAAATGCTTCTCTGAATGGACAGCTTTGTACTCATGATCATTATTCTTCTACACTTTATTCCTCTCACATGAGCTAGATTTTTTTTAAGTGTAATTGTTTGTGAAGTCAGAATAATCTGCTGGCATAAATAACCTTGTCCTCCAATTGTTGTATCAGCAAAGCTCATTCCAGTTGGCTAAGTGCTTAATGTTAGGTGACACTGTACTTTCCATTTACATAATGTTTAATTGTAGACACATTTGATTACATTCGAGCTTAAACTCCTGGCTTTTCCTCACGGTAGTTTGTATGTGTCTGGAATCTAATTAATGAAAAACTATTGAATTAACACATTATTTGGCCTTGGATTAGATCCAATATACTTATTGCACATGTAAAAAGAAACAGAATGTAAATGGTTTTTATAGCATGTGATCAAATACCAGCAGAAACAAATCCCAAATGACAGGGTGATAACACAAAGCAGCTTCAACTGTTCTTTCAACCATGCATCAGCTTCCCCATCCCCCCAAACCCTGCACCAGCTTGGTTCCCTGTCAGCTTTTTAAGATGTCACTTTAAGATGTCCCCCTGACGTGAAAAATGCTATAAAATATAAGTTGTTGTTGTAAGAGCTCTTGTACCCCATGCGCGAGGGCGTGATCTCCTGTAGCCCCGCAGTCAGGACATTGGTGAGCTTGGCGAGCAATGCTGTTTTTGGCAGATCTCCAGACTCTTCGGGCCTGCGCTAGTGTCCCATTCCGTACCCTCATTCCCTCCCCCTCCCCCCACTCGAGTTAGCCACCCAATTTCTGTTAAAGAAAGCATTAATAATTTGTTTTGCAACAATCTAATATGTGCTATTTCTTCATGTATAGTTTTTATCAATGAAGTGAAAAAAGTAGGTTTGCAGTAAAAATGTACCTCAGTAGCACCAATGAACCTTCTGCAATTTTCTGCAAAATTTGTCAAATTTCTCTGCAATTTCCCACAAAACCTGTCAAATTTTTCCACATTTTTGTGGTAAGTATTTCCACAATTTTCTATTGGCCCTGGCCATAACCCTCTTTATACCTAGGAATTCTCAGAATTAGCTCCCCATTCATTTTCGGTTCCATTTTCTGTTTTTATCTCTATAGTTTGCTTAATTGCACTGGTGTTCAATACTGAGGTGCAGTTTGAGGTTAGATCTGTAAATTGTGACAAAATGCTAAAGCACTTTACCATTCTTCTGGTTGTGAGACTGCTTTAACCATGGTACAGGGAGAGAGAACCACAGTCAATAACTGGTGCTTTGTCTCACACACAGATTGTGTTACGTGAAGCTGAAGCTGCTGCTGATAGCCATAGAGTACAAGTCAGACAAAAGGGAGAGCAGGTGAGTGTTCCAGCATTTGTTGCGAAACATTAATACGTCTCTGCTAATTGCTCACTGAATCTTTCCAATCAGGGAATTTAGGAAAATGTTGGCTCAGAATACCTGGTACTATGGTTGCTATACAACAAGCAATTTTAACATTATTTCACAGTGGCATCTTAGTTCCTATGTACAGCGTTAACTGCAGAAGGGATGAAGCAGGGAAAAGGAAACATTGTGATGCACATGATACAGTTAACTTGTGTGATTTGTTTCACGCGATTTTTATTTTCAGAGAAATGGTGCTTCTTCCCAGACCATTCTTATACTAGTGTACAAGTGTTCGCAGAGAAGAGTAGCAAGAGGTTTAAGAGATGGTATTGAGATCAGTCAACAGACCCTTAAAACCCAAAAGATTACATTAATTGGACACTAAGAAACATCTAAATATCGCATCAGATTAATTTGGTGCATTAATACTAATAAAGGCAATGCAACCCCTCTCTCACCACCACCTCCCCCGCCCCCCCCCCCCCCCCCCACAGAGTAATCTGATTAATTCTATGCTTTTGTACAGAATAATACAAATCAGTTTGATATTTATCAATTTCATATGAAAGAAATGCATCACAACTAATGATTTGTATGTCCCACCCATTGGAAAGCAAGGCAGTCGTGTTGAAATCATTGAAGAAAGATAGATAATGAAGATTAAATGTAGTTTATTTAACTTCAAAGCATGTGCGTCACTGAGCCCTACAACTGCGGTTGACCAATGGAATAAACGTGTTTTTATAAAGGTGGCAAAGACCCCAGTATCAAATCCTCACTAAAAACTTAAAATCAGATGGAGAAAATGGAACAGTTCAAAGCAGTCAAGATTATTTTACAAACTTTGTTGCATGCTTTCAATGGTTACCAACAGGAATGCCGTTTTCATTAAATTTTAAAGAAAGTATCGCAAGATTTGGACTGTCATGAAATTTCATTTCAATTAAAAAAAAGTACGGGCATTTTTGAGTTACTTTGTGAAAAAAAATACTAATTTTATTGCAAGTAATCCCCTTGGTGAAAAATATCATGCATCGTCCCTTCCGTGCATGATTGTTAACGCTCAGATTTGCACGATGGATGTGGGACTTGGAACCTGTTTTCTGTTGCATTTGCTGGAACAGCACATTTCCAACAGCTACCTGGTGCATCACACAGAAAACAATAATAATACTAATAATCGTTGCATTTAACATGATGCCTTATCACATCATTCGAGACGTCGAAAAAGGCCTTACAGGATATATTGCAAAGTGGATTTGACTACTTTGTTGGTGAACGTGGCAGCCAGTTTGCATACAGCAATTTTCTCAACAAACAGCCATGGAGTGAGTGACCAGTTTTATTTGTGAGATTGTTGGCCAGGACACTGGGAGAAACTCCCTTCTCTTTTTGAATTGTGCTGTGGGATCTTTAATGTCCTGAATAGGCAGGCATGATCTCGTTTTAACATCTCATCCGAAGGATGGCACATCCAACAATGCAATACATCCCCAGCACTACATTGGACTGTCACCTTAGAATGTGTGATTCCAAGTCCCAACGTGGGGCTTGAACCCACAATCTTCTGACTCAGAGACGAGAATGAGTCAGGCTGACACACAATGCTTCCAAATAACATTTGGGAAAGTTGAAATGGAAACAAAGAGGCAAATATTTTACTTTGTACATCAGGGTTCATTATAGATTGAGTTCTGATGAAGGGTCATGGACCCAAAACGTAGACTCACTTTCCTTTCTCCATAGATGCTGCCAGACCTGCTGAGCATTCCCAGTGATTTCTGTTTTTGTTTTGGGTTTCCAGCATCTGCAGTATTTTGCGTTTTATTCATTATAGATTTTGCTGCTCTGAAATGTGCAGTGGGTGAATGATGCTGATTAAAAGCCCTTTCTAAATATAGCCTCTTAATGGGAACAGACTTTATGTCAACCAAAGTATTCCTTTATCCATTCATTCCCATTTAGTAAGTAAGCTATTGATCATGTACTGATCCTAATTGTCAGTAACGTGTTCAAGAACTAGAGCCATTGACCCGTTTCTGACAGTAGGCTTGCAGTAGTTGAGGAAAGCAGCCTATGAGCTCCTTCGGATCTGTTGAATGGGAGTAGCACAATCGGTTGAAACGATCATGCTGGTTAGACTTAATCGCACCTGAAAAACCTTCACTGACCTCAAAGGAAGCTTAACCACGTGCAAACAAAAGCCATTCCTTGCATCTGTAAGTCTGCTCAGGCAGGCTGAGAATCATCACTATTAAAGCAGCATTTCATTAATTGGCAGAAGTTTAATCCCACTTTCTGCAAAATGATCTGGTGAAAAAGCATTTAAGCAATAAGCACAAGATGACTGAAGGCACAGTCTTGATTGTGTCAAGTGAGCATCCAGTGAAAGTGATGAAGGTTTGCAGGAGGCAGGAGATGGGTGGGGGCGGCTTGCTCAGCTGCTTATGGTCAAAGCTAGCAATACCACTAAATATTGAGTTTCTGAAGCACATTTTACAGTCAGTCCCCGTTATAAGGTGGTGGTTGGCGAGTCTATAGAAGAAGACCTTGCATTATAATGGGTTGAGTTACAGTGGGGTGGGAGTCAGCTATAACAACGCTACAGGCTAGAATCCCCACTCTCCCCTTCATCCTTGTCCATCACAGTGTTGTGTGCTTACCATGAAAAATAATACAAAATTCAAACAATCCCTGTGTGTTCTCATCTGCAGTGCTTTGTTCTTGTGTTTTTGTCATTTTGCTAAGATTGGTGTTTAGAATGAGAAAAGTGTTTTCTTGTTTTTTTTATATATGATCCAAGAAAAAAAAGATTTTCTCACTCTGCTTTGTTTTTTTTGTTGCCACCTGTTTGTTTCTACCAAAGTGTTTGATTTGAAATGTTCTCTTGTTCTTTGCAGAAGTGGAAAGCGGTATGCCCCTCTTCATTCACTCACCTACAAACAAACTTCAACACATCTTCGTTCTCCTACACCTTCTGATTCCTAACCTAATTCCTATAAAACTAATTCTTTGATTTTCATCGAGTCAGGAGTATCATACCAAAATATATTAGTTTGTTCCCGTTTTTTAAAAATCAACATAAAAAAGCATTTCCTTTCTTTAGTACCAAAGCAATAGTTTCCTTTGCAGGAAAAATCCACCAATACACAGTATTTTCTTGTGGTTTTATTCCTTGTCCTAGCACAGATGGTGATCATTCTTGCTTCATAAAATGTTTGTGCTTTACTCCTCCCCTTCATTAATAATCCTCGCCTCCATTAATCATTGAATGTAAATGCCCAATACAGTACATGCATTCCCTTCTTGCTACTCAAGAGTGTCTAACTGATGTATTTTTCCAATATCTTCTTTTAAAGTATACCTCAAGTTATGCATAATTTCACAAAATCATTAATATTTGAAAATCATGCTAATTAACGAGCTAGTATTTATTTTCCCTCTGATATATACTGATAGTTTTTGAGAAACATTGAGAGAAAGGGATCACATTTCACGCTTCACATCGATTTACCTCAAGTTAAAAAAAAATCATTGGCTTATATTGCAGAACTTTTTTTGACATTTCTTTGAAGTTTTTCATTGCATTAGCATGCTTGTCAATGATTTATTCTGTCCATTTCAAAGACCGCCACTTGCTACGTTTGCTGCTTGACACTGAGTGAAAAACATCACGCAAAAGATTTTTTTGTGTTCCTTTATATCAACACCTGTTGATATTTATTTTCATTTTTTCTGACCAGGTTATCTCTTTCTTTTTTCCTCATTGAATTGCTCTCTCCGCCTCACACTCCTTCCCCCCACCCACATTTTGCTGATTTGTTCCTGTGCTTCCTTTCACCTCTTGCTTGTGTCTGTCCCTCACCTCCTTGCTTTGTGTGCAGTGGCTAGGTGCATTACGAAAGTAAGTTCTTCCTGTCAGTTTGATATTCAATGATACAACTGCAGCGAAGTTACTGCAGTGATTAGCCCCCTACCTCTTAGGCGGTGGCTATGCTTCTACTTTTGGAGTCTTTCCTGATGTGAAGTAGTTTGCGGTGGATGCTTGTGATTGTAATTCACAGCCTGAAAGACTAATAGATAAACTTGCTTCCGGAATTTCCACTTCATTTTACATTATTTAACAACAAACCCACTAAAGTATAAATATGGGACAGTAAAAGACAATCTATACAAAGAATCTATTTATCATAATAATAGGTTTAAATGTCTGCAGAGACCTGATCTCTCATTGGCGGTGTGGTAATCCCCGGCAGATTCCTAACTCTGGCAGATTCTGGGGAAAAATAAATTATACTGACAGTTTTTATAAAATCACTTGATTTGAATGATGGACCACAAAGGAGCTTCAATCTCTGATCTATGCAAAACCATCTGATCTCATCTGGGATGACAGTTAGGAGGAGGAACTGACCTTTTGAGCAACACATCCCTCTATCCAAGATACTTTGAGTTATTAAGCGACCCCTGTGCCTTTGTTGAAGAAATTGTAACAGGTACACTTTACCTACATTAAACAGAGTAGGACACGTTGAATAAGCTAGATAAACGAGAGCAGCACACTTAATTTTGCTTTTCCTCAATTAATTCATTAATTAGGACAAATGATCATAACTCCAAATTACTGTATTTCCAAATGAAATTCTAAAACTTGCCTGAATAAATATATGCCTCAGGATTGGTAATTTGTGGCTATGCATTAACTTAATTTCAAATAAATCATCAATTTGTGAAAACAACACAATAGTAAATTGCTATTTGATCATTGCAGGAATGCAGTGGAATGTATATTCTTCAGTTTCTTCAGTCGGGGCAATAATATTTTGTCCAGATATAAAATCAATCACCATTATATTTGGAAGCGATCTTGCAATAGACCAGGTAACCAATGGAAGGCTTCTATTCTCGGCTAATAAAAATAATGGCCTTAAAAGCCATCAAGAGCAAGAAGTTAAATCCTGGAAGCAATTTTACTCTTTCTTTTGAACATGCCATGTCCTAAGTGTGCATTTGCTTTCTATCCTCTTTCCTTTGTGAGCAGAAAGCTGAATATCTTGTCCAACTAAGAGTACTGAGAGTGCCCAGAAGAATGAGCTGGATGTTTATTCTGAACAATTGGGGTTATTGCAGGATATCAGTCTGCAGTCTGATAACATACTCGGGCGTTGTGAATCTCGTCAGTGTATCAGCCATCTCTTTCCTTTGGGCCAGGTTACCGAACCTAACATATAGCTGTGCTGTGTACTAGTTATAATCTAGATTTGTATTGCCTTGTACTTTAAGCTATGTGTCATTATGCACATAGCTCAAACAGTATTTAATGAATTATGTTGCAAATAACGTTTCAATCACTGGGGAATTGTACAGGCTACAGTAACTGATTTTTAGCATGATGTTTATTGCAGTCTTAAAAAGAAACATCTCAGAAAGGATCTGATAGAAGTATATAAAATGTTGAATAAGTTGAAGAAAATAAACCCAGAAAAAGAGGGTGTTTTTCTGTGATGAGAGCAGGCAGGATAAGAGAACACACGTACATAGTTGTGAAGGGCAATTTTGAGAACGGACACCCAGGAAATATGTGCAAACATTTCCTTGTGGTTGGCTCAGAAACAATATGCCTGAGGTCAAGAGATCACCAACCTTCTCAGTTGGAAAATATATCATGATATGGGGAGGGAGTGTCCTCAATACACGAAGGAGGTAATTTAGGTCGCAAGGAGATAGAAAGTGTGTTTTGGAGAGAGATAATGGAAAATCTGCAGGAATAAGCATCAAAACTATACCTGAATTAGAAGCAGTATTTAGTTTGGAGTTACCAATATCCAGAAGAAGGTTTTTACTTCTGCTTTGTTATCAGAAGGCTATAGAATTGGAGAAAAGTGAGAACTTATTTTGGGAGATGCTGTCAAGCAGATGGTATTTTGCTAACCATGCATCTAAATATTAAGAATCCAATAATCCATTTCATTTCAGGCGTCAATTGAATCATTCACAGTCATCTGTGAAATGTATTCAGCCGTTGAATTTTATCAGGAGTTAGTGCAATCCATTTGAGAGTGACTTCTTTTCAGTAAAGATCCTTGTACCATTCCCCTTTGATTATTACACTATTGAGATGAAGTTTCTCTCAAACAGCAGCTAATGGGAACGTATTTTTTGTGTTTTTTTACTGAGTAGCATATTAATCAATCCTGGGAACAACGTCAAGATTCAAGAAGGCACGTTGGGATTTTTCATTGCAAGTGATGCCAAAGAAGTAAAAAGGTAGGTGGTCCCTTTGATTTGATTCCTGGTAGGGTGAAACCTTGGGCAAATTTCCTTACTCCACACTCCTGATAATAATCCATCAAGAAAAAAAACAATAATAAATTGGTCACTTCAATCCACGACTGTTTGTGGGACACTGCTATGTGCAATTGGCTGCCGCATGTTGCTCACAACTATACATTTAATTCACTTTACAGTCTATTCTAGAAGACGTGAAAAGCACTATATCAAATGCAAGGATTATTATTATTATTCTTGATAACGAGACAATTCCTGTCTACTTTCACTTAATTGTTTCATATGTTAAATGCAGTGAATGAAATACTGCCCTTTTGGGGGAAAGCTTTCATGCCCTGTTATCCAAACCTGTACGAGAATGAATCTCAGTCATTGCTATTAATGCAGTGATTGAACAATAAAAATCTTTAACCTATTTTCTGGAAAGATCTGGCAGTGAATCTTTAAACAAGTGTGTGAAAAATAGCTGCTCAATGAAAGATTATGAGGTGTGGGACCGAGTTTTGGACTCTCAACTAGAAGGCTGAGATCCAATACCAATTTCGAGCACCGAAGTCACCAGTACTACTAATTGTCACTAAGAGACGCCACAAGGACAGTTGGGGTGGGGAATGGAAATAGTACACTAGTGCATTAGGCCATGTTAGAGTTTTGGTCAAAGATTGGTGTTGGAGACGACGATAAAGCAACAGGGAGTCTGAAATATAAAACTTGCCACCTAACAACCAGTACCTTGATGAACGCAATTCAGGAACAACAACAACAAGATTTCATTTATAGAGCACCTTTCACGTCGGGAGGACGTCCCAAGGCGCTGGACAGTTGGGTCAGGACGCGAGCAGGGGGGGGAAATGGTCAGAGTGAGGGGAGGGAGCGAGGAGGGGGTAGAGAGTCGAGAGGGGAGCTGAAGGCATGGTCGAAGAGAAAGGTCTTGAGACCGGCCTTTGAAACCAGTTTTGAAAAATTCAAACGCAACAGAGTTGCTCTTGTATTTTAAGGTTCGACTGAAAACCTGGTTGGTTTAGCTGCAGAAAATATTCAGAAGGGGATATTATCCAGATCTTGAAAATGCTGAGAGATGCGGATAAAGTGGCAGCAGAAGGTTATTTAACTTGCACTGTAATTGCAAAACTGGATAACAACCTGCATTAATGTAGCACCCTTTACATTGAATAACACTTCACATAGCTGGAGTCAGACTTCGAGCATCATTTTTATATCGTCTTTCCGCAGGGCATTCTTCTACTGCAAAGCGTGTCACGATGACATCACAGATCCCAAAAGGATTAAAAAGTGTGGCTGCAAACGGCGTAAGTAATGTTCTTAATTTCTTACCGGGAGTTACTTTGCTACTGTGCCTGAATGCATTAAAACATGCAATGCAAGATTTTACGGCTACGGTGCCCGGATAATGCTGGGGCAACTTGCCTATTGTGCAATGTTTTTTTTTGCCAGTTTGTCACTGAAGATGAGAGATAAAGTAGAGCAGTTAAACTCCATTTAGGCGCTCATTAGACATTAGATATACATAGTACACTATAAATGATTAGTATTCAAAAGCAGCAGGCTTTCGTTTTAAACAGTTTTGAAGTGTACAGGTGCACATTTTATTGCATCTCCACCATTAATTATAACCCTCATTTGGCATGAGTTTGTTTCAGCAGCCATATAAAAAAATGTTATAGACTATAAACCTTTCGTTCTAGATGTGAAAAGAGGTCAGTGCGTTTGAAAAGTCAACTCTCACTAATTATTGAAAGGCATGCCTTCTTATGTTGTAAAAGCATCATAGTTTTTATCCTCTCCTTAAAATAATTATCAAACTATAATATTTTGAAATAAAATAATAAATTATTATCAATAATGTTATGGTGAATCTGAGAACGTTAATGGATATTGAGCACCAAAGTGATTAGGTGACTCACCCCCCCCCCCCCCCACAAATGTAAAACGTTTGCGGAGAAGAACAACATTTCAGAAACGAGGAGATCAAATTTGAGTCTATTAATGATGTGATGTGGAACAGATGTATAAATAAAATGACATGATTAGTGAGGCTGAAGAAGTAGCTTGTCAGAACTAAACTTCCTCTGTTTGAAAACACTAGAGGTAATGCTCCAAGTCAGCTGGAAAAACAAAGACAAACCCTTGCCAAATGTATTGTATTTTGCAGCCCCATCATGGTGGATCATACAATATGCAATACATAAGTACCAGGAAGATGTGGATGATTTTTTAAAAAAAATACACACATCATAGGATCTGCTGTCACACTTGGAACCCAGTTCCAATAGATTTATCATTACATTGGCATTAGTCATGTCACATTGTTAACATATACCTGACCTACTTAACCACTTGTCCAAACCTGTTAGGCCCATTATTAATAATTTAAACAAAAATCTTGGTGCATCAGCAGAGGTCAAGAATAATTAAAGTGAGTAGGCTTTATCTTTAAAAAAAAGACTGCTTGAAAGCTCGACAAAAATTCATCTTAAAAGTATCATTATTTTTTCATATTAAATCTAAATTATTCAAGGACGGTACAGAATTTGCAAGTAAAGGTTCATATTAGGGGGGAAATAGCTATTTTGAATTTTAAATATAAAATAGTTCCCTGTCATAAAAGAATGACTCAACAGAAAAAAATTATGTTTTTAAAATGTGTGCGTCTTACGTGTATACATACATTTCCTTCTCGTATGTGAACTTGGTTCCTAAACATTCACGGCTTTTTGACATGTGCCACTGTTGCGGCTTCCATGATAGGAGATAAAGAACAAAGATGTGTAGAACTATTGTCCTGATATTCAGGCACTCAAAAGTCCATGTATGAAATGATTGCAAGTATCTTTTGATGATTGACATAATTTTGATTTATTTTTCTCCTTGCTGCCTATGGAACATGAAACTGTAATTTAACTGCACACTGATAGTGATCTATTGTGAGTAAAAATGGGTTCCCTGTTGCCCACAGTGCGGTCCAACCTGTCTTCCTTGAGCAGAGATTTTTTTGTGTGTGTTGCATGTGTAGCAGTTATATCATACGCACACATCATCTTGAACACTGCCCACAGATCACCCTGAATCTGTAGAGAATACAGCAGCCAAAGTGGCAAGCTTCCCGTGTAATAAGCGATTCGATTTGAAACCAGGGAACGGATGGAAATTAAACAACAGAGCATAGAGGGGAGAAGGGCTCACTCACCTAGCTTTCAGTAGCCCTTTTGCAGGCCTTTTTGTTTGTTTATTAGCATTAATCGGATAAAAATCAACACAAATGTTCTTACTAAGTTTCAACCTTTTTTTGGGTGGGCATGAGGCTTAGGCTTAGAATTGCTGAGGTTGTGTTGAAAAGCTGTGAGAAGCCCCATCAACTGTTTGATCATCATAAGAGGAATGGATGGTGGAATTACGTCAATCCTCCCCTCCAATTAGGTAGGCCAAGAGTGTGCCTCTCCTCTAGAGGCTTTAGTTGATTTTTACAAAATGTTTGCATAGGCACAGGATGGCCTTTTGCATTAAGGGCCAGGTTGGCTATTGGTGCAGCACTGAAAAGCCTACTACTTGATGAGCACCCCAAAACTAGTTCTGCAGTGCAGAGGAGGGACAGAATTTTTGCATCATTCAGACAGTGATGCACGAAAAGTAGTATTTCCTCTACTTTGAAGAAAGGCCGCCCGCAGGGTTCCAAAGAAGGTAAAGATATCCAAAGATATTTTTCAATCCTTTCGAATATCGTTTAAATCCCATTTGAGCAGACCAAGGGAGATACTGCCTCATTAGATTCTGTTCCAGTAATCAGGATCAAATGGGCTGATTCAATGTGGACATTTACAAGTTAACTAAACAAAGCAATTTTTAGCTTCAGTTAATGAAAATCCAACCTGCCAATTTCTCCAATTCTAGAGAAAGTGAATGGCCGTTAAATGCTTACCATGGATAGACTGAGCGGTGAATCATTCAGGAAAGTCTAGTTGGTCATGAATTTTATGATGCTGCTGTATTTTCTGCTGTATTTTCAATGAATTTAAAATAATCTGTGGGAAGCCCCATCAATTTAAGAAAGTTTACAAAGGGACGGGTATCAATCAAACTGATTCTTGTGTCCTGCTTCTACCCCAAGGCCGTTTCCTCCATTTATTTATTTTTGTGTCTGTAATCACTAATACTTACTGAATTGAAATGAATTTGCCCTCATTTCAATTTGTGTTGGTAGTTGGGCCCTTTTTTACTCACTACCCATGACTGGACCCTCACAGCTTTCACATTTTTCAGAGCTCATGCTCTCCAATGCAGATCCACTAGATGTCCTCAGAGACCAACCCATTTCTCCTCCTCGTCCTCCTCTGGTCTCCAACCGTACACTTCAGGTTTCCCCGAATGACACAAAAACATTTCGAATGGCAGTATAACCATGTTTTTGCAATGAATCCATATGGCAGTTTGTGTGTTGTGTTAGTGGAAGTATTCTTCCAGTGTAGCACCACATGCATAACCATCAAGACTAACATCTCTCAACATGTCGTGTCATTGTGTGAAAGTTGCTACTACTGTTTGTGGTTTCTCTCTCTCCCCTGATCACCACCCGCCACCCCTCCCTCAAAACACAACGAATGCAGTGTATATTACAGCATGGAATTTTTTTGAGATATGAGCGCAAATGTTAACATTTATGAATGCTTCAATCGAATAACCATTTTTGAATCTTTTTTTTTCATTTTTTTATTGCCAAGGTTGAAGCCTGTTTTCTCAGCATGCTGTGATTTCAGTAGTTGTGCATGGATTAAGAAACAGCACCTCCGGTCTTCCTTTTTATATAAAAAAAATTCTGAGGTCATTCATACCCACACATATTTATTATGTGCATCTTGTGGACGATTCCCCAATGAGCGGTGAGATTAATTGGCCCAAGTATTTGGTTTCATTTCACGAAACAAAATCAAAATAGTTTGTCTCCCTCAAGATTTTGTTCCTTTTAAAAAGTGCCGGATTCAATTAGTGTCACATTGAAACGATTGGCATAGTTCTAAGGAAGACAAGAGGTTGAGCCACCCAGCATCACGAGCATTTATCAGGCTTTTGATGCTCCTTTCCTAATTAAGATACCAGTGCTAATGACTGGCCTTGGCATTTGCATTGAACAAGCCTGACGCTGCATGATGTGATGTTTTTTTTCTCTCAGCTAACGGGTACTGTAAGCAACCTTTTGCTGAAAGTTTAAACATTTTACAACTCAAAACCCTACAAAATTGCAGAGAAAAGGGATTCTACTACAGATCCCTCTCATTCATCACCCCCCTCCCCCGCGCCTTTTTTCCTCGATCATAGCGGTGACCCTTGCTTGGCCAATAATTTTGATATAAATGGCCTTAGGTCAGTGCTTGACTCAGTTGAGAGCTTGAAATATTATGTCTGCAGTGTGACATAATGGCTTTTTCAACAAAAGTTGATACCTTTTCATTATTTTTTAAAAAGAAGTACTGGGGTTAATATGAAATAATAAGGCTTTATGTTTATTGAACAAGTGAATCAATTAGCACAATTACCATTACCATTTCGACTTCATGTGCTTGAAAGAATTAGACCTGTATTTTATGAACTAGTAAAATCTGACATGTTCATTTCGATAGCAGTAATTACAATGAACATGTTAATTGTAACCAAATTTCTGTGAGCATCCTGTGCACATCCCTCCAAAACGTATGACAAAAATACTCAAAAATATGCATCGTGACTCAATTTCCTATAATTGCCTGTTTTTTTTGCTAAATTGTTATAAAACAGGATGTGCGTGTGTTCTTGAACGGATCTACGATTGAAATTCATGCAAACTTCTTGTGGCCCAGTGGAAAAGTTGCCTTGCTGGCAAACTCGATTGCAAACTTGAAAATACTTAAAAATGTTTATCATCAATTTCAAAGTGATATGCTGAAGTTTTTTATTTCAACTTGTAAAAATGACTTCTTGTTATTGTGCTTCATTTGAATAATCTGGCTCTTCTTCCTTGTCAAGCCTGCTAACGTTACTAAGGCCTATGTTAGTTCCCTTGTTGATTCCTTCCAACTGCCAGACTAAATAACCTTGCCATTAACCTGCTCCTCTTCCTCTCCTTCCATCGAAAACATGATTATAGCCAAGATCTCCATCTACAAGAGAATGAAACTCGCATGTTGTTTTGATTGCGGAGGCTGTGAGCGTGACTGCGCTTGCATGTCAGGCAGTGTACATAGTAACATGGACACCCTTGAGAGAACCTTCCCACTTTCTTCTGTCTCTGTTAATGATTGCTCCACCAGTTTACGTGCCTGTAAGTTTTATACCATGCTGTTCCATGTCAATTGTATGTGGAGTCGTCCCTTTTGTGTTGTATTCTGTGGTCCGGTGAGCTGGTTTTTGTTTGGCTGCTGCTGCCACAGTGTTCAATGGGCTTCCTAGTGTAAAATGCTGGCTATGTGTGCTTTGCTTGAGCATGGGTCTGTACATGTGCATGTGAGACCCACTGTGCAGTGTTGATGTTCTTGGTACTGTGCAGTACTATTGAAATGCATTTTTACTCCATGTCTTTGAATGTTGTTGCGAGTAAGCTATGGACAAGTGACTTTATTAAAGTTAAAGAAAGTGGCAGAAAATGGTATGTGCACAACCCTGGGGAAAATATGTTGTCGAATTTAGCTACTTTCTTTCCAATTATTACTTTGTTATCTTTGGTTATGCAAATGTTCTGTTGTCTTCTCTCTCTTTCTCACTATCTTTTTCTTTCACAAGTACAATCCCCACCCATGGCTTCATTGGCCTGGAACAGTGGCAAAATGAGATGTACAGTACCACATTTCTATTCAGTCTCTGTTCTTGGCTGTTGTTTCTGTGTATGAAGTCAACTCCCCAACTCCAGGCAATTAGTCCTCAATGTATTGCAGCTTCTCTGGTCCCACAGCTCTTTGTACTCGCTACTGGAGTTCAATTGCATCCCACCTGGCTAATGCACCCCCCATCACTTCTGCACTACCACAAGTGTGGAACGTGGTCTTCAGATTCCTGCCCAGGTAGAAAAGGCAAAACCACTTTAGATTTATCCCCCTGACAGGTAACCAGGATACCAGCTTTCATCTGCTTGAGAAGGAGGGCCCAGAAAGTTCCAAAGGACAATTTGGGTTGGTGTGTGTGTGTGGGTGGGGGAAGAAAAGAGAAGAAAATAAAATAATTCTCCTTCGTGCAATAACAAAAGCTGCCATTGTCTCCTGGGGGGAGTAGGGTGGAGAAGAGTGGGTAAAACTAGTCTAAAGTATCTTGTAAAAATGCAACTTTAATGCCTTGTCAGACATTGTGTAGATTTAGGCAGCTATTGGTTCCCTTGGCCTGAAGCTTTTGCTAGTTTTACACAGGCGGTGGGATCTGCAAAATTCAAATGATGAATTAAAATATTTGAGCCAGCTATGCTGTGGTGTGACAGATCTCTGTAAAAAACAGTAATTCTGTCATTTTTAGTTCACAGTGTAATGCCCATTTCCACTTGGAGGTCACATTCAGTTTGCATCAAGTTGATCTGAACTGAGCAAAATCTCTCAGCAATTAGACTCCCCTCTGCCCAGAGTCACATAGAGTTACACAGAGTGGTACAGCGCGGAAACAGGCCATGCGGCCCAACTACTCTATGCTGGTGGTTATACTTTACACAAGCCCCCACCCCTGCAATTCCCCTCACCCATATCTCTCTATTCCCTTCTCCCTTATGTACGCATCAAGTTTTCTCTTCAATGCACTGATGCTATTTGTTCCAACCACAGCTTCTGGCAGTTGAGTTCCACGTTCTTAATATCCTCTGGCATGAAGAAATTTCTCCTAAACTTCCTATTAGCTGTCTCCAGAGATTTCAGTGAGCTGACACGCCACCCTGCGTGAAGGTTGCTATATAAGTGCAATTTGTTGTAGTTGTAGATCTATCAGTATATTTATGTCCTCCGATTACGGTCAGTTCATGGTATGACCCTGCCTGATACATGTGTTGTGATATTTTTCCAGGCTGAAAAGTTTCTGAGTATTCAAATCAAACTATTTAACAATTTATCATCCAAAACTCTTGACGCCGGCATTCTCGTCCACATCAATCTCCACTCTAGTCTGCATCACTCCAGCCCTTGCCAGTCTCTACTGGCAGATCACAGCAGATCGATTTCAAGGTCCTCATCCTCACCTACAAATCTATCTACTCTCTGGCACCTTCTTATCGCTGATCTCCTATCCTACTCTTCCGCTCGCCCTTGCAACTCGTCTAACTCAGGTTTATTCCAGCCTGTCTGCCACCATCAGTGGCAGAGCTTTTGCTTCCTATGCCCCTAAAGCTCTTGTACTCCTTCCTTTATCACTCCTCTCTTTCTATCTTTAAGTCTTGCCGCAAATCCTGCCTCTACAGCTATTGCCTGTCTCCCTTCCCTCTTCCCCCTCTCCCATGTGTGAGATGTTACCCTATGTGAAGGCGTGATATAAATCCAGTTTGCTTTTGTTATGGAGAAGGTGAGTATTTACTGCAGGGTACAGTAAACAAACTACGCTGTTAGTTTGACTCTGAATCTACACAGCATATGAAAATTCCGATTGAAATCTGAATGGTACAAAGTGGTAATGTGCAAACAGAAGCACAGGTTTAACTGTGTGTGACAGGCACTGTATCCAGACCTTTAAATAGCGTGAGACCGGATATAAACAGATTTGTTATTACTTAGTATTTCTTTACTTAAACTTAAGTTGTGATATTTGTTGCAGTAGTCTACACAGTGAATTTTTTTTAAACTTTCACCTTTTTAAACTCACCGCATACACACATTCTGCCATCATTTGTAATGATTCATTTGGCTTGGGTTCCAACCCAAATAAGACAAAAAGTTTATCTCTCCTGTCGGATTGGTGGTTCAAAACTGTAAATCAAGTACAGTATAAACCCCAAAAAACACAAACGATTCAGAGCCTGTTTAACTGAAGCAGCTTTCCCCCCATCAAAGGACAGTGAGTGGCAAGATTCCGATTTTCATTTAATTAATATAAGCAGATGTGAAATGGTGACTATTTGACAATTAGAAATGGCAGCAGTGGGGGTTGAATCAAAGGGAGGTCAGATGTAGAGATCACATTTCCTTTCTTACATTCTTCAGCTGCTTTAACAATCAGATTGAATTAATGTCAGTTCAGCTATGATGGTTTTTGCCCTTTGTCTTTTACTGTGGTACTAGATTGCTTCCCTAGATACTCATTAAAGGTCATTATATCATTACTTGGCTTGGTTTCGGTGTGGACCCCAGTAAGGTTAGCACACTTCATGGTTTTGTTAGACAATTTTCTTTCATTACAACACACGTTTTTGATATTTCAGTGTGATCGCATAACCCATTCCATGAATTGTCACAAGCAATAGCAGTAACTACCTCTGACTTTTTCTGGCCATCTTGCAAGCACAGGCTGCATTTCAAAGGGATTTCAGAGAATCCACAAACTGAAATCCAGACTTTCACTTGTACTGTACTAAAGACAGACTTTGTTTCTTGAACTAAATCCAAGGCTCACTGCCCTTGATTGTGGCTCATAATATTTCATTTGCAGTAGACCAAATAACACAGGGAAAAGCCACAATTGAAGCAAGCATTTGAAACACTTTTTTGTGGTATCTTCTCCCTTGTAAAATACACAAACAAACCCCTATTTTGTTTTGGTTTCTAGCAAGTGACATCCGTTTCAGGGTCATTTCAAGCGTGTATTTACAGCAAATACAATCACATATTTTAGTGACATTTGAAGAAAAGCTTGGATGCTTACACTGTGATGCTTGTCCAGCGGTTTTGTCCACAGTACTGTTGACATGACACAGAAGCAGCTGCAAGGTGATATTACCACAGACAAACCAGGAGTCAAAGTGGAGAGGTGGGGGGGAAGGACAAAGAGCAGTGATTGGTGAGGGTAGAAGGAGACCAATTTTACTGATTAGAAACTGCTGACTCTACAACTTGTTGTATACGTTTCTTTGAGGAACTTGCCTTGAGTAGATAAGCACTATAAATTAGTGGATTGACATGCTGTGTCACATAATGGTAAACATAGGGATTTGCTCCCATTATTTCCTACCCCCCCCCCCCCCCCCATGAACCAGATCAAAGCTGGGCCCTTGGGAGAGGTACAGAAAGAAGGGATGGGCAAGGATATCACCCGAGGCTGTTCTCACACTGCTGATTATAAAGCAGCATTGACAGAGGTCTGGGAGCAGCTAGACTGACTGCAGCCTTAGCCAGGAATGGTATGAGACATGGGAGAGACCTGAGGAGGACAGAAAAATGACTTAAAATTGTGGAATTGAATAAAAAACGAGAGCCATAAATCTACACATATACTGATGCAGCATCTGGCACTTTATGGACATATAAAAATAGGAACAGGAAGAAAGTATTCAGCCCATTGGGCCTGTTAGTCCAGTTTGTCAGATCCCTTACTCCACCTTTGCTCCTTGCCCCTTCAGGGAGGAGGGTGGCCTGAGGTGGAGGCAGCTTCAAGACAGGTATGTCTGATGCCAAGATTGCTCAAGTAAATTAAACGATTGATGTTGAGTGAACCTGCTAACCAGCATTGTTCTTGGACCTCTGGAACATCAAGGTGGCTGGCACATCACAAGTTGTCCTCCATAGGTCCTCCCACCACATTGAAAGCAGATAGCCATCAGATAGCTTATAAGGAATCTCTGAGGCTTGGACGACAGCTGTTAGAAAACATTACCCATAGTCTAGATTCATAAACACACACTCGTATACATACAGGGCTTGGTATCCACCTTGATTGATGTGCTGAGAGTGAGCAGTTGCTGCTTAGCTTATGAATGTCCTTTGAACTGGCAGAGCTATCATTCAATGGGTGTGGGGGGGTCCATACTGTGGACAGGCGCTATTACTCCCCAGTGAGAGAGTGCATATTTCATTCCAGACACTGGGAAATGTCCTTGTGCCAGTGGCATACATACATGGAATTCTTGGTCTGTTTTGTATACTCTTAACTATAGTGATGTTTTTCCTGCATGTTACAGACATCCAGCTGACCAAAAGCAAAACCTGTTTCTCTTTTAAACATTCAATTGTTTAAAAGAGTGGGGAGGTGGGGTGGGGGTGCATTCCACCATTACTGTTAAGTGAGAGACCAATTCTCGGAAGCTTAGGGTCTTGTGTTGGGGTAGGGAGGAGTAGGGGACAAACATCTTCACCCGACTCCTCTCACATACCATGTAGTGAAAGCTGTAGGTGGTTCCCCATCTACTTGTCATATCAGTCATGGCTGACA